GTGGTGTCAAAAGGGAACTGTCTGAAGAGCAGGGTAGATTGCTTTCAGATGCAAAACAAAATTACTAAATTATAGGTTATGGTGGAGGCAGCGAACAAAGAGAGCTTTACAGAAAATATACTTGGTGAGTTTTGAGACTAGCTAAATAATTCTGAAAAAAAGGGATGGAGATTATGGCTGAAAATGATATGAGGCTTGGAAGATGGATGGATGAAAGATAGGATAGATGAGAGGAGGAGTAGATGGGAAGAAGGATGGGTGAATGGAGGAGATGATGATGGATGGATCGATGGCAATATGGATGGGAGGAGGGATGGGGAGGATGGATGAAAGATGGAAGGATGAATGGGAGATAGAAAGATGAGTGAGAAGATGATGGGTTGATGGATGAATTGGAGGATGGATGGACGGATAGATAGATAGGAGGACAGAAGGATGGTGGGAGAATGGTGGGTGGTTGGGAGGATGCATAGATTGGAGGGTGGATGAATGGTACTGGATGGAGGGGATAAGGGCTTTCAGAAGAACTAGTAATGGAAGAAAGAAAGGAATTAGGAAAAGAGAATAATGTAATATCACTTCTCTTATGTTTGATGTGAGAAAAAATAGCTAGACACCAGGCTTATTCTTTACCATTAATCTGATTTTTACTGGGACCTGCCTGTAGAACAACTCTGACCAAGGTCTCCTAGCTCCTTGCTCCACTGTCACCTCTGTCTTGGATACCCTGTTCTGAAGGTTTTCAGAACACTACATTTCTTGTTTCCCCCCTGTCCTCTAGGGGCTCCTCTCCCTCTGCCCACTCTCTTGGCTGGGCTATCTGGAAGCTTGCCATAAATAACCCTCTCCATTCTCATGACATTATCTGTTTTGATTCAGAGCTCACACTCCCATCTTGTACAAAGGGTGTGTGTTGTTGGCTATTTTTTTTTTTTTTACTCTTTTTACTCTTCGGCTCTTTGGGGGGCCCACCACCCAGCTTCCAAGTAAATACACATGGGGTCTTATTCTTTCTTATGACTGCCTGACCTTAGCTTGGCTAGTTTCTTGCCAGATTTTCTTAACTTATCCCATCTGTCTTTGCCTCTGGGCTTTTTTTTACCTTTCTCTATTTATGTGCATCTTTTCTTTCCTTCTTATTCCATGACTGTGTGACTGGCCCCCAGTATCTTCTCCCTCTTCTCTCTCTCTCCTCCATCTCTTCCCAGATTTCTCCTCCTATTTATTTTCTCTGGCTGCCAGCCCTACACATTCTTTCTCCTGCCTTGCTATTGGCTGCTCAGCTCTTTATTAGACCAATCAGGTGTTTTAGACAGGCAAAGTAACACAGCTTCACAGAGTTAAACAAACGCAACATGAAAGAACGCAGCACATCTTTGTATCATTAACAAATATTCCACAGCATACACAAATGTTAACACATCTTTAACTAATATTCTACAACAGATGTACCTCTGCCTGGACACATCTACCCTGTACCATTGTCATCACCATCTTGCCACTGACATCTTAGTTGGGGGGGTCACTGAATCCAGTTGGCTCCCAGGACCCAACCTAAAATCAAACTGGTGTCCTTCCTGTGGACTACCATGATCCTGCCCTCCCCTGATAAAACTGTTTACTCCGTCTGTCTACGCAGCCTGCACACTGCAAGCAGGGAAACTGTTAGCTTTGCACAGCTAGACACTTGGTGAACGCTATGGAATGTGAAAACTGGCAAGTGCATAGGAAAAGGCCTTTGGAGGCATTTGCTAGATAAGAGTAACTGTCACTTGCAAAGGAAAGAAAAGCTTCTAGGACAGACTTCCTACCCTGTTTTCTTTCTACGCAGTGCGTACTTACTCTGTTTTTATAGTCAGATTTTGTTGGGTTTTTGGAAAACACAAGTTTTTAAGACTTAGACCCCAATATGTCCTTAGGGTCCCACTGTTGGGCACACAGATGGGCCACAAGTCTCACTCTGGCTGAAGAAACCTTCTATTCATTTCTCATAGTTGCTGGAACAAAACTCCCAAACTCAGAGCCTTAAAGCAATGCAGATTTATTTTCTGATGGTTCTGTGGGTCAGAGGTCTGGCTCTGCTCTCTTGGAGCCAAACTCAAGGTATGATCAGGGTAGGCCCTTTCTGTTCCCACAAACAAAGTGGATTTGGTTTAATGATAGGCATGCTGAAGTCTGCCACAGGAAAGTACCTGGTGCCTGTGGTGCCTCAGAAATAACAAGGGTTGGTAACTGGTAGGAAGGCAGAACAGACACCTGCCAGAGTGAGAATAGTAAAGTGGTTTAGCCACCAGCCGAGCCTTACTTGCTGTCATTTTTACATTTCATAATCCCCCTTTTAATGTTTTTTCCTTTTGTTTTGTTTTTTTTTTAGTTTTTAAAAAAAGATTTATTTATTATGCATACAATGTTCTGCCCGCATGTTTGCCTGCACAACAGAAGAAGCCATCAAATCTCATAGATGGTTGTGAGCCACCCTGTGTTTGGGGAATTGAACTCATGACCTCTGGAAGAACAGCCAGTGTTCTTAACCCATGAGCCATCTCTCCTGACCCCTTGCTTTTCTTTTTTTGACATTTATCTATTTTAATTTGATGTGTAGAAGTATTTTGCCTACATGTGTATCTGTGCACTGAGTGTATGCAGTACCCACAGAGGCCAGAAGAGGGCATTGGATCCCCTGAGAGTGGAGTTATATTCAGTTGTGAGTTGCTATGTGGGTGCTGGAAATCCAATCTGGGCCTCTGGAAAACAGTCTATTGATGGGGAATGTACTACTGTGTATGTTTATCTTATTGATTATTGAATAAAATACTGTTTGGCCAATAAGACAGCAAGCAAGTTAGACGGAACTAGGAGTCAAAGAGGATTCTGGGAAATGTAGTAGAGAAGTGCTGATCCAGGCAGGAAATGACATAGCAAGGAGACTCATATTTAAGCGAAAGAGAAACAGGAAGGGCCCTCTTTTTTCCCCTCGGCTCCTGCTCCAGCGGCACGATGTGATCCACCAGCTAGGAGGGACGCCAATAAGGCGTCCGATAAGATAAATCTTATAAAATATATAGATGTATGATAATTGAGACTGAGCTAACAGATGAGAATCCTAATCATTGGCCAAGCAGCATTGTAACTAATACAAGTCTCTCTATGTATTCATTTGGGCCTGACTTGGGCAGGCAGCTGTCGTAAAGCTCACACGTGGCAATGGGACTCAGGTGGCTTTTGGCGGAAAGATTTATTGTAAGAGTTGTCCCGCGCGCTGTATTTTCTCGCCGGCAAGAAATACACGCAGGACACTCGGATCCTTCTGCAGACAAGCTTTAATGCATCTTGAGAGAGGAGTGCATAAGCTTACCAGAGCGGAGCCACTGAACTAAGAAACCCATCCCTTAAAAAGTCTGGCAAGCAGCCGCCTGGGACGTGTTACCCTATGAATGGCTTCAGCTCCTCAGGCCAAATGAGCCACGGGATAGGCAGAGATCAAAGGAATGGAGATTACCCAGCGCCTGTGAAGTAATTTACATCTTGGTGTCTTTAGGCACCATTATTGTAATGGAGAATGCAGGAAACGGCCCCCTACAAAGAGTCAATGTTCTTAATTACTGAGACATCTCTCTATCCCTGGAAATTCTCTTAATAAAATATTTGGGGTTAAAAAAGGCTAGTGGTGTCATTATTGACAGAAAACAGACTTTCACTTATTTACATGAGTGTGTGTACAGGCCAGAGTTCCTCAATCAACCAGAGACAGCTTTGACCCAAGAGGCTGAAGAACTGGTTTTTTGTTTGTGTACATAATTTCACTATAGTCTGAGCTTGTCTGGAACTTGCTATGTAGCCTGGGCTGGCCTCAAACTCATGACCCTCCTACTTTAGCCTTCCAAGTGCTGGGATTGCAGGCATGTGCCACCATGCTCAGTGTTAGACACCCTTGTGATAGTTATGGCCAGGGCAGTGCTACTGGTTTCAAGTAGGAAGAGGCCAGGGAGGCTAGCAAGTTTTTCCCAATGCAGAGGGAAGACCCACAACACAGCACAGTCCAGTTGCACATGCCAGTGGGTGAAGGCTAGACCCACAGCAGAGAACAGTCCAGTTGCACATGCCAGTGGGTGAAGGCTAGACCCATAACAGAGCACAGCCCAACTACACATGCCAGTGGGTGAAGGCTAGACCCACAGCAGAGAACAGTCCAGTTGCACATGCCAGTGGGTGAAGGCTAGACCCACAACAGAGCACAGCCCAGCTGCACATGCCAGTGGGTGAAGGCTAGACCCACAACAGAGCACAGTCCAGCTGCACATGTCAGTGGGTGAAGGCTAGACCCACAGCAGAGAACAGCCCAGCTGCACATCCAGTGGGTGAAGTCTGAGAAGCCCTGGCATGTTATGTAGCAGATTTGAATATGTGCTTTCAGATACTTGGGCTGCGTAGGCAAAGGCATGTTACTGTCATATGAATGAGACAGATGGGACGACTGAATTTCCTAGCTTATTACTTGTTTTCCTAAGTAATGAGTTGCCTTCACGCATTGCACTCCAGTGGTGCTCACAGAGCTATGCTGCACTGCTGCGCGTATGGCTTTATTTGAACAGTCCAGGGATTTTCCTGCCCTCGGTCAACTTCAGTAGACTTTGTGAGGTCCCTGCCAGATGAGATTGATCTGTGTGGCAGATGTCCTTTTAGAGACAAGACTCATTGGCCATCCTTGGCCCAACTTTGTTTTCCGTATTTTCCTTGGCTGGGGCAGAGGTCATGCTCTTTCCTGTGGATGTTTTTTTCTAGGATATTAAGCCAGCAGGGGCATCACATCAGCTCCCCTTATTCTGGGCAGCTCCGGCTGTGGATCTGGGGGAAGGAGAGCCATTCCAGCTGATTTTTGTCTCCTGTCTACTGCTGGATCTCTTGTCCTGCTGTGTCTACCAAAGTCACAATGTGGCTCTAAACTCTGGCTTCTTCTTTCAACTACAGGTCTCTCGTTCTGATGAAAAGAGAAGGGAAGGATGGACTACACGCACCAAACTGCTCTAGTCCCGTGCGGACAAGATAAATACATGTCCAAGTAAGATGTCTTGTAGTATTGCTCAGCCCATGCTGGGACTCTGTGGGTGAATGGAAGCCACCGGGAGAGGAGTTTCATATGTGTGAGCAGCTAAGCAGCTTACATGAATTAGTGAGAGCAGGGGCAAGATAACCATTAGCCATAGATGAAAACATGCCCCAGTGAACCTAGCCTGACCAGTAAAGGGGTAACAGGACACAGCACCTTTGGAAACTCAAACAAAGCTTCCAGAAAGAGGAGTTGGCTGATGGTTGCTTGCTAGGCTCTCAACGTGTATACCCCCAAATTCCCTTTGAAGTCTGAAGCCTGTGGTGATGGATTGGGAGGTAGGCTTCTGTAGGAGTGGAACACTGGAGGGTATTGGCTTATCCTTCTGCCAGTGAGGAATCAGGAAGGAGACATGAAGGACCAGTCCTTGCCAAACACTGAATCATCTATAGCCTTATCACGGATTCTTCAGCTGAGAAGTGAAATCCTATTGTACAGTATTTTGTCATAACTGCCACAAATGGCCACCAACATGGCTCACTGCCCCTACTGTGGTGTTGCCTAGGGAAAGACAAGGCTGTGATAGTGTGCCATAGACTGCCATGGCTCTGACTAAAATTGACACAGGTACCCTCTGAAAAAAAGAGGCGGGGTCAGTGAGGCCTGGTGACACACCTTTAATCCCAGCAATTTGGGAGGCTGAGGCAAGAGGATTGCTGGTTCAAAGCTAGCCTGAGCTGTGATGAGTTATAAAATCATATCTCAAAATTAAAAAGAAAACGGATCTGGGAATGTAGCTCTTGCTACACTTGCCTAGCACCTCCAAGGCCCAGTTATTTCATACTATGAAGGACGAAAAAGAAGGGACTGGTCCATGGCTTTTTCCTGTACATTAATGTCTTTGGAACAGGCTTTGCTGATAAAACAGAGGTTGACTAGACATCGAGATCAAACCCAGGGCCTCCTGTATGAAAGGCAAACCCTCCACACTAAGCTGTGTCTCCATTCTGTCCCACTGCAAGTCTTCATGCCCAGCACAGGGAGTTTACCTCTTGGATGCTCCCCATCTTTAAAAATGATTTAGCTTATCTGAGACTAAGTTGTTTTAGACACTACATTTGGTCACATAGACATGCCTGTTGTGTGAGATCCAGAACATTCTTGCATCTTCACCAAAGGGTTTCCCTGGGGACATCTCATGAGCAGGAAGTTTGGACAGCACAGTGAGCCTTTGCTTGGGGTTTGTGGAGTCACATTTTTCTCTAACTCAGTCCAGCTTGTGTAGAATGACTCCTTCCCTGAGGTTTAGCCATTCAAGGTCCACAATCTCTCTACTGGGCTCCAAAATCTTCCTGTTGGCCTGCTGGGTTTAGAAGAGCTGAGCTCTGTCACCTCTTGCCTGGGAAGATAGGCAGCTTCCCAAGCTGTCACCTGGTGTCCCTCATGGAGTGATGAACAGCAGGCATGTGTATCAAGAGTAGAAGATTACCAGGGTCCCGAAGGCTCCTCCGGCCCACGCCTATTCAAGGCTCTCCAAGAGGTCTGGCTTCCTCCCCTTAACACAAGATACACGAGATTCAGCAGTATAGTGTGTGGTACACTAAGATATTCATTGTGTATTGTATCATGCATTGTAATGGTGTGTCACTCCATTATGTGACAATAACTTCCTTTATTTATCTATTCTGTTGATGAGAATTTGCTAAACATGACAGGGGTTGGTTTGTCAATGAAGCCCAATGTCGGGGACAAACACCTTCCCATCCCTTGCAAGTCTGCCATGGGATGGTCCGTGGGAGGGGTGAAGAATGAAACTCAGGATAATGCCGTCTTTGTGGGCACTGGGTCAAGCCCTAAAGGGACTGGCTTCATGGTTTACTTTCCTTACACATTTAAACATAGTAGAACTTGTAACCTGTGACCTTTACAATAAGAATGGATTCTTTTGGTTGATAAACAGAGCTCAGGGCTAGGGCCTAGAGAAGAATTTGTGATAAGCACAAGGATAGATTCTATTGGTGGAAGATGCCAAGTCCATGGGGCTTCTTTCATGGGTATGTGTTCTATTCACTGCAGGGTCATGGTCTGAACAATGCTCAGGGTATTGGGGGACCCAGGTGGAGGCCAGCTCCTAATAGCAGAGCAAAGAACCACGAGGTTGATTGACCGTTTTTCACTCTGGTATTCCAGGTGACAAGGCATCATTCATTTCTTTCTGTTGAAAAAAATAGGCTCTTGTGGTTGAGAGTCTTGGTTTCTCCAATGCTTGAAGCTAAGCCCCCTATAGTCTTCAGTTATCCCTGTCAACTTCCTAAAGTGCCAGAAGTCTCAGAGCTTTGTGAAAGCCAATAGCAGTAACCCTGTCCTCACTCCCAGCAAGCATGAGAGAAGAAAGGCCTAAGAGAGGCAGGAGAACTCCTGCTGGCATGGAAGTGCCATTTGTCTGTGAAGCTGTGACTTCTGCCTGCTTGCCTGTAGGTTGGGGTAGAATGCTGGAGATGCTAGTCTTTGTCTACAGGCTGTTTCCTAATGTTTATCTTGACCTTGGTCATGGGGAAAGGTGTCGGTGGGGTGGTTGGTGCAGAAGTCTTCATGCATGTGTGTGCATGTGTGTGTACATGTGTGTGTTCCTGTGTGTACACCCATGTGTACATATATTCAAAGGACTGCCGAGGCCAGTTGGGGGGTGAGCAAGAAGGGATGATTGCACTGTGTTGACTTTCTCGGGCAATGTGCTTCTCCCCCAAGGAATGAACTTCTCCTCCATCTGAAGACCTACAACTTGTACTATGAAGGCCAGAACCTGCAACTCCGACACAGAGAGGTAAGGTGTCCCCATAGGAAGCCTGGAGCCTCCTGCCCTGGTGGGGCCCAGTCTCTTCCTTGTCCCTCATGACATAGCAATACCCCTAGGACTTAGGATGCCAATGGGTGTTCTTCTTTTACTCTTTCTTTTTACTTATCCTGTATCTGTTTCTGCAAACTCTAAAGAAGCTTGTGAGAATAACTGATACTCAATTGTTCTTGACTGACTAGAACTCATTTTCAAGTGATCAGTACCTGGTTCATAGAAAGAGAGAGCAAGTGTTGAATTTCAGTTGCTAAGGCAAGATGTTGGGGAATAGAATACAAGGTGCATAGCCTTTCCCTGTCTCTTAAAGCACTGCACTTCAAGTCCTATTGTGGGCTAAATCCCACCCTGCTATTAGACAGAATAAAGGAATGATGCTAGTCCTGGCCAGCTGGAAACCGTATAAACAGCCCTGCCTACATAAAGCCTTTCTCCTTAAGACACCAAATGCCTTAACATTGTTGATCTTCTCCCATCTTGTTTAGTCTCCCCGTCACCACAAGGATGATCTTTGGCCTAGGTCAATTGACCACTGACCAGATGTCCTGAAGATGTTCATGGCCCCTCTCTGACACTCATGAAAGCTTGGGTTCAGAAGGGAGAAAAGAAGCCTGACCCTTGTATTCCTACTGGCGACTGGGCTTTGAGCGCGAGCCTTGCATAGGACCCTTCTTGAATGACTTTCCTGCTTCTGTCCTTGGATTACTTTGTGTAGCCGTGAATGCATAGCATGGCAGACAACTTAAAAAAGTTTAAGACAACTTAAAAAAATATTTGCGCTCACAGTTTCAGAGGGTGTGGTCTGTGGTTACTTGTCTTCGTGTGCCCAGGTGGAACGGGATGTGGTGGGAGAGTGTCAGGAGAATTTCTTCACTTCATGACAGATAGGAAGTAGAGACATACAGGAAGTTACTAGAGAGCAGGTATAACCCTCAGTGGCCTACTTCCTCCAGTTAGACCTTCCCTCCTAGGGTTTCTACCAGCAAGGAACCAAACAAGCCCATACACTGTGGGAGCATCTTGTAATCAAACCAGAAAGACCCTGTAGTTCCTCTCTGAGATCTCCAGTCCAAATAGGATTAGAAGGCTGCACTTAGGCAGGTTTCACATTTAGTTAACTTCTTGTTAGTCAACAACCTTTGGGTACAACTTTGAAATTTCTGAAGGATTGACTCATCTCTTGTGTAGTGTGGTGTGCTAGATTATGACGAGCACAGGGGAGTTTTGCTTTAAAAAAAAAAAAAAAAAAAAGGGCAACACCACAGTGGGCTCTCTTGTGTAGTGTGGTGTGCTAGATTATGACGAGCACAGGGGAGTTTTGCTTTAAAAAAAAAAAAAAAAAACAGGTCAGCACCACAGTTGGCAGTTGGCAGACACTTGACACCTTTTAAGGCAACAGTTCTGCTCTAGGAGCATGTTCTGTAAGTAAACTTGGGGAAAACTTTGAGTTGCTGCTACCCAAAGTCAGGTTGGATTACTAAATGCAAGGGGAACAGCCAGCTCAAGGGTTTTGTTCTTGCTTCTAATTAGTAAGGCTGGTCTCTGTTATTTTAAGATCTTGAATCTCTTCCCTCCTTCTTTTCTTCCATCTTTGTTTTTCCCCCTCCCTCCCTCCCTTCTTCCCTTCCTCCCTTCTTTGTCTCTTTTAGTTAGGGGCTCATTCTGTAGCTCATACTGACTTGGAACTGATAGCAATTCTCCTGCCTCAGCTTCCTGAGCACTGGCACCAGAGGTATGAGCTACCACACCTGGCCATTGCATTCTGATTTCCTTAAAGCCATGAGGATAAAGACAATAAAAAAGGTTTGATGAATTTCGCATGTGTATCTCAAGTTCCAAGAAACAGGGTTTTGGGAATGTGTTGGTGGGGGATCGCCCCATGCTGTTGAGAGCCTTCACTTAGTTCAGCCCTTGACAGAAACTTTTGTGCTTCTGACCTTTGAGGTCAGCTGCAGGGAGCTAGGGACTTCACAGCAGAGTGAGCCTCAGAGCTAGGATTTGCACACCACTTGAATCCCGTGGGTCCACTCTGGGCTTAGCACCCGGTTGCTTCATGGCAGGAAGAAGACGAGTTCATTGTGGAGGGACTGCTGAACATCTCCTGGGGGCTGCGCAGGCCCATTCGGCTCCAGATGCAGGATGACCACGAACGCATCCGTCCCCCTCCATCCTCCTCTTCCTGGCACTCTGGCTGTAACCTGGGCGCACAGGGGTGAGTGAAGGGAGGATGTCTGGGGGCTCCCAGTCCAGTTCCTAGAACCCCCCACTGCTACCTGCCATGGGTTTGCGATGGGAAGAAAGGGGCATCTGACCTGACTCCACAGGCGCAGAGTGAGGAGGAGTGATTCTGAGTCAGCAACGGAAGTGCCAAGGAATGGCGGCAGAGGGTCCTCCCTCAAGGAGAGCCCTGGACTCCCCAGGGTTCTTGTTAGTGGCTCCCTGAGCCAAGCTTGCAGGCTCTGACAGGGTGCCAACCCACACACATCCTCCCAGCTGGAATGGGCCTGCTCCTGGAACATCTAGGATTTGAACCCACTGATCAAATCTGTCTCGGTGGAACCTAATGGAAGAGAAGGAATGTTCTGTCTGAGCCAGCCAAGTGAGGTCAGCCAGGGGTCTCCCGTACACCTGGAACAGGTCATGGCACACAGCAGTAGTCTAGGAGGTTTCCTATTGGTCCTCACTGCAAGGTCGGTGAAGACCATGATTGATCTCCCACCTTCGGTGGCCAAATGAACAGCTGGTTGCTGGCACTGAGCAGATCTTTTGTTCTCTCTGGGACTTCAATTTTAAGATCAAGTGACTAGCCTTGTTCCCCTCGAAACTTGCTGAGGTGGGTGGCATTCGGGCCAGAACCTGGGTGGAGTGGGATGGCTGCTCAGCCAAAACCACAGTGACGTGCTTTCTACTTTAAAGGGGAACTGAGCCCTCCCTCTCTGCTGGCTGCCTGGAACATTGTTACATTCCACAGCCAAGTGTATCATTCTCTTTAGTTGAGAAATATCTACAGAACAGCCAAACCCTGGAACCAACCTTGGCTCTTCCCAAGAGAACTGAAGGAGGGAAGTTGTTGCTCCACCGACTGGGCATAGAGAAGCCTGGTCAGGGCTTGGGCTTGATCTCAGCACTTTGACCATGCTTCGGTTCCAGTGGGCCGGACCCTCCGAGCCTGGCTTTGACCTCTACATTGTTACATTCTGTTCTTCAAGTGAGATGATTTTAGAATCCCATTTTCCCCTGATGCTTTGGGCTGGAGCTGCCCAGGGATCCTTTAGACTGCCCTCTTGGTTTTTCTCCATTCCCCATGACAACAAGCTGGTTCTTGAAGCCTGTAAATATTTTAAGGGCTTTCGGAAGTATGTTCCAGATGCCAACACAACTTAAACGTTGCCTGTAGGACTGTGTGTAAGGTGCCAAGGCCAGTTTCTGCTCTGGACCCCAGAGAGAGGGTGCCACCTGGGCCAAGTGCCTGCCATGCTCTGAAGGGTGTGGACTGAGGCTTAGACAGCTGTGAGGAGAAATTCTTGGGGCTTTTCCGTTTTACTTTTCTTCCCTAACGGTAGCATCCCAGGAACACAGGGAAAACCCTCACTCTTCTCACCTCGTCAAACAGATTCTCCCTTCAGACCCAATCCCCTTGGGTTGGTCTTGGATGTGTTTTTCTGAGCTGCCTCCACTTCTCTTTGGGGCTCCCAGTCACCACAGCAAACCCGGGTCTCAGCTCAGGTGACCTGTTGTGGTCCCTTCTCCAGCTTGCGATCCTGAGAGTATTCATCACTCCTCAGCTGTAGATGCCAGAGGCAGCTTCTGAGATATTCTTCCAACAGAAAGAAACCCAGCCTGGAATCGTGTCCTGAGAAAATGAGCTGTAGACCCTACACATGCTTTGAGACTCGGTGCAGGCCACACACAGGCTTTGTTCTGGGTTCTCCCTTCTGGGTCTGATGGATTGGGGCTTGTGCTTCTGCAGCTGTGGTTACTGACATCTTTCTCTTGAGTTCCCCACACCCATCCAGCACTTAGAATGGGGTCTGGACCAGCCTCCTGGATACTCAGCACAGCCTGCCTGCCTCTTTCTTGCCTGTGGCATGTGCAAAAGCTTCCATTGCAGGAAGGGGCCCTTGAAATGGAGACATGTCCTCTCAGGGGCTAAACAAGTCTGTCCTGTTTGTTTGCCATCTTCAGCACCACCCTGAAGCCCCTCACCACGCCCACTGTTCAGATCTCAGAAGTGGACGTGCCGGCTGAAAGCAGTGAGACACCCAGCCCCACAGGTATGTGAGCTCCAGCTAGGGGCCATTGGAGTGACAACTGCTGTGTTTTAACCAGTGACTTTTTGTATAAATACGTAAAACCCACATGGATCAATATCTTTTTTAAAGGTTAAAAGGTAAGAATTTAAAAATCTCCCACCTCCTCCCCTTTATTTTTCCTCCCTTAAAGCAACCTGCAACATTATTCCTGATGGGACAAGCAAATGCATGCAAATTCATACAAGTCTAAGCAGATGGCCTGCTGCCACCACTTGGAGTGGGTGTGGCTCCTTGTCCTCTTTCCAGAGAAGTGACAGCTTTTGAAGGAGAGCCCTATTCCCGGAGCCTGCTCACCAGTAGCAGCTGCCATTTGACTTTCTGTCTCTGTGACTTTGCTCTGAGCACCTTGTGTGAGTTGACTCACAAAGTACACATATCCTTGTATGACCAGCTGATTTCAACCCAACATAAGGCCTCAAGGCTCCCACCATGCTGTGCCCTTCGGCAGCTTGTTTGCAGCGTCTTGCATGCCCTTAGGTCGAGCTTAGCCTGAGCCAGGTGCTGTTCTCAGCTCTGTTATACATATTGACTTACACCCTCACTATGATCCCACAAGTGGAGGCTCTTGTTACCCCTTCAAAAAACAAGCAGGAGAGGCCAGGGAAACATGGGGAGGGTGCAGGGTAGGAGGGTAGACCTGGGATCTGAGCCTGGGGAGACCTGAGGCCTGTGCCTGGAACCTGTGTACTGTTAACTCCTCAGTAAATTATGTGTGTGTCTCCTCCAGCAGGAAAACATTTTATAAAATGTGTTTCTGGGGAGACAGAGGGTGCCATAGTGTCAGCCTCAAAAGGAATCGGGCTCAAGCAAACAGCTCATTTCCACCTCTCTTCCCAGACTCCAGGGGCCTGAAACCTGTGCAGGAGGACACCCCACAGTTGATGCGCACTCGCAGTGATGTTGGGGTGCGTCGCCGTGGCAATGTGAGGACATCCAGCGACCAGCGGCGAATCAGACGCCATCGTTTCTCTATCAATGGCCATTACTACAACCACAAGGTAGAGGAAAAACCTCGGGGACATCCCTACTTTCTGGGCATCTGGCACTTCAGTGCTATGGCCATGTGGTCCCAGGGGGAGGAGGAAGCACCTAGGAAGCCAAGAATTTTCAGTTCAGTCTGAGGGATGTGAGTGGGAAGGAGGCTTTACTGGCTTCTTGAGAGACTCAGGGCTTGGGGTGAGGAACAGTTCCCACTAGGTGTAGGGGGTTTCAGTAGCCCGTGTGAAGCAGACTTAGCTTTCAGAGCCCTGGGAGCACATCTCACTCATCTTTGCTCACCTTGGCAGGTCAGTCTGTGTAGTTAATTCCTGCTCCCACCCCTGGCCTCCCCCAGCACCCTGTGCTCCCCTCCTAGTGTGAGAAACAGTGATCCTCACTTCATAATAAGAGTACTAGGGATTCCATAGTGAAAGTACAAGTGTTTATATTTCATGACTTTGCCATGTCAGTGGCATCCTAGAGAAAAGGCAAGAAGGTGGGCCATTTGGTGCAAAACAAGCATTTTATATTTCTAACCAAATTTAATTGACCCTTAAGTTCCCAATTGGCTGAATACTTTAGAGTGGTACAATCTTCCCTGAGTATTGTCCCCTCCCCAGATTCCCAATCAGGATGGAGAATTTTCTAACTTGTATCTTGGGACTTGAATCTTCTTCCTTAAAGATCCCTGGGCTCAGTCATGTAGCAGATCGCCTGTGGCCTTTCAACCCCTAGGATGTACTGAGAGTGGTCAGTCAAGTAAACTCTGGCACCAGCCTGAGAAGACAAGGGCTTGGTGTTGATACCTTCTGCCTCTCTGTGATTCTCTGACAAGCTGAAAATGCACCCCCTGAAAATGGACCATAATGATTTACTCCTTTCTCTGCTGCCATCTGACCCCCTGAGCTGATGACTATTTTTGAGCAAGGCTACAGGTCTCAGTTCAGCTCAGCATGCTGCCACCTCAGGGACCCCAAACTAGCTAAGTGTCCCTTTCTTTCTCCTGCTTAAATCCCACCAGAAGCAAGTACATGGTGGGAGGGTGGCCAGAGAGCACCTCATGCACCTGTGCATGATGGGAGGGTGGTTGGAGATCATCTCATGCACAAGTATATGGTGGGTGGCTGGTCTCTTAAAGAAAGGGTCTCTGAATGTTTTGTTTATCTGGTGTCACCTCTAACCTGTTCTTTGGCGCTCAGACCCAAACTTCCCAGGGGAGCTTAGTCCGAGCTGGACAAACCCCAAGGGCTACTTTGTCTACATCCATGCCTGATGCTGGCCAGAGTGCCTGGGGCTCTCCTCAAGTACATTCCGAGTACTTATTGGTTTTGATACTTAGTCCTTGTCCCCACTCCTCCCCTGAGCCAGACTCCTCTGTTGACAGACATCAGTTTTCACACCAGCCTATGGATCTGTCACCAATGTCCGAATCAACAGTACCATGACTACCCCGCAGGTCCTGAAGCTGCTGCTCAACAAGTTTAAGGCAAGTTCTCTCTGTTGGCTGTGAGCCTCAGGGCTGTCAGGGTGGGAGGTGGCCTTGATGGTGAGCTTGCCTGGGGAATGGCGCCATCCACCAGTGAGCAGATCCCTCACCTCGATTAACATCGAGATAACTCCTATATCAACAGACTATAGGTATCCTCTCTGAGACTCATTTCCCAGTGATTCTAGATTGTGTTGAGATGACAGTTAAAACACAAAGTATTGCTTATTTATTCTCTCTCTCTCTCTCTCTCTCTCTCTCTCTCTCTCTCTCTTTCTCTCTCTCTCTCTGTCTTGAAATGAGACCTCACTATATTGCCCAGATTGGTCTCAAACATCTGGACTCAGATCCTATGGCTTTAGCCTCTTGACGGGCTGGGATTATACATATGAGCCTAACTAGTATCTTTTCTCTTCTTTTCTTTTCCTTTCTTTTCTTTCTTTTTTGTCCCAAATGATATATTTGTCCCAAATATATATTTGACAAATATATTTGATATATTTGTCCCAAATGATATAAAGCTTACGTGCTTTAGGATGTCATAGTATGAGTGAACACATGTTAAGAGTGAGAGTGGAGGGTGGTGCCATGGGATGTCACAGTGTGAGATGAGTGAACACACTTTAAGCATGCGGGACTCCCATTCTGGAATGTGTTAACTATTCCAGTTCAAAAGCTTGAAATCTAAAATGCACCAGCCCCAGAGACTTCTTGAGCAATGATGTGACTTGGTCATCGTCTTGGTCTCAGGTTTCTGTAGAAAGAAGCTAAGCTGGTAAAACTTCTGCCAAAATCCCTAAACCTGAAGAACTCTGAAATCTGAAACACGTTTTCTCCCTAACATTTTGGGTGAAGGATGCTCCACTCCTGTTAATCTAGCATGATTGACAGTCCCCTGCCTATTGCATGCTCTCGGTTGCAATGGCCCTTACTTTGCAGAAGCCTGGAGTCTGGCTTCAAGATAGAGCAAATGGCTCAAGGCTGGGATGTTTCACTGAATTTATTTTTGTTCTTGAATCAGATTGAGAACTCAGCAGAGGAGTTTGCTCTGTACGTGGTCCATACTAGCGGTGGTGAGTCTGAAGAACCCAGTCCACTTCACATCCTTCAATTAACTCAAAATAGCACGTCCAAGACAAACCCTCTATTCCATTGTTGATGTTTCCTAAAATTCTAACTGTTATTTGCCCCTGAGCCTGGTGGGCTTTAGGGACAAGTGCCCCAGGGAGCACCATGTGGGCAGTAATACTAAATCCCCACACTTAACTGCCTATTAGAAATGAACTGGATTTTCTCCAGAGGCAGATGCCCAGTTCCTCCTGAGTGGTGTTTTCCAGAGGGTCTGAGGCATGGTAGTGTATGCGTGTGTGTCAGGTGAGTGGAGGGAGGGGGAGCTAGTGTGTATTGTATGGGGTGGCTAGTGTGTGGAGCTAGTGTGTGTGTGGGGGGGGCTATTGTGAGGGGACTAGTGTGTTTGTGTGACTAGTGTGTGTGAGGGGTAGTGTGGGGGGCAGTGTGTGTGGGTGTGTGTGGCTAGTGTGTGTGTGGGGCCAGTGTGTGTGTGGGAGTGGGGGAGGGCTACTAGTGTGTGTGGGAGGGCTACTTTTAACACAGATGTTGAGTAGTTCATTCCAGCACAGTCTGACTCGTGTGGCTGCATCTCCTAAGTTGCCTGTCCCATTTGGAGCCCTGAATTGGTCACCATTCCTGGTGAGAAAGCTCTTGGGCTGAGCTCAGACTACCTTGGTTGTGTCAATTTCAGAGAAGCAGAAACTGAAGAACTCCGACTACCCCCTGATCGCCCGCATCCTCCAGGGCCCATGTGAACAGGTCTCCAAAGTCTTCCTAATGGAGAAGGACCAGGTGGAGGAGGTCACCTATGATGTGAGTCCCTTTTGCTTGGTGCTGGGGAGGAGACTTGTTGGGTTACAGCACGACTTTTTGACCAGATCTTTGTCCCCTATGCTGCCATGCTTTAATATCAGCTTCTTTTGATAGCAGTTGAGGATGGGCCCTGTGGGGTTGTTAGAGGGATGACTTTCTCAGATCTCCCAAGGATGCTAGGGCTCTGAGGACTTTGGAAGCATGCTCTCAACACCAAGGAATTTCTCTTCTCGGGTGTTAGTTGGTACAGTAACAGCAACCCCAAGTCCAAGTTCCTTATAACATTTACCATTTTCCTCATGACTCTGCTAGCAAGTAGGAACAGCCCTGTGCTAGGCTCGGGTGAGTTTTATCTTATTCAGATCCAGCTGAAGGGCAGTGGCTTCCTGGGCTCTCCTCCCCATGGCTGGTGGTTGGAGAATAAGAACCTAGTACACGGGCTGGGGAGATGGCTCCATGGGTAGAAATGTACATGTGTGAGGGCCTGAGTTTGAATTCCCAGGATGAACATATATCTGGGTGGGAGGCGGAGGCTGGAGACTTCTCAGGGCTTCTTGTCTTCTAATGGGCTGCCTAGCTTGTCAATACAGTGACAAACAACAAAGACACTGTCTCAAACAAGGTGAAAGATAAGGTTTCCCTCTGTTCTACACACCATGGTACATGCAAGCCCTTTACTTGAGCACCTGTTCTCACACATATGTCCACGTATACACATTGCACACACATGATAAATCTGCAAACAATTTTCAAAAGAGGAAACTAGTCCGAACCATGGAAGCTCATTTGAAGTCTCCACTCAGATTGAGAGTGTATCAAATCTACAGGAATTCCAGTGGCCCCTGCAAGCGACCTAGGCAAACTAAGCACTTGTAGGGTAGAAAAATACCTGGAGGAAAAACGAGAGAGTAGGTCAGGGTTGTGTTTGTTTGTTTTGTTGTTGTTGTTTGGTTTTGAGGAGGGTTGGTTTCTTGAGACAGGATTTCTCTGTATAACCCTGGCTGTCCTGGAACTCACTCTGTAGACCAGTTTGGCCTTGAACTCACAAAGATCTGCTTGCCTCTGCCTCCCAAGTGTGCCACTACCACTCATCTGGGGTTTTTTTGGGGGGGCACTGGGGAGGGAAAGCCATTTCTTTAACTCTCTGAAGGCAGTCACTGCCCTATTTGGCTACCCAGAGACAGGAGACACGAAACTGGGCTGTGATGACTCCTCACCCTCCCTCTGGGGAGAACAAAGCAGTGTTTAAGGTCTTCTTTGGTCTTTGATTTGTTGCAGTTCTGGGGATGGAACTCAGAGCCCACCTCCACCCTCCCAGCCCCAGGAGGGAACTAGAGTTCCCTTACCCCCTAGCTACACTCCAAGCCCAGGGAAGGAACTAGACCCTCCCTGCCCCCAACCTCCCGCCTCCCCCATCTACACTGCCAGCCCTAGAAGCTCTTTTTCTGAATCACTGTATGAAAGGAAAGCACTTTTCTGTGTGAAGTCGCCAGAGTTGTAGCTACCAATAATGAAATGAAAACTGAGAAGTAACAAGATGGAAACATGCAAATGCAGGTTTCTTCATGCAGACTGGACCAGCCTCGGGTAGAATGAGGAAATTCTGGGCTAGTGCAAAGAGAGATTTCTGATGGCTTTGTGCCTTGAAGAAAGCTATAGCAAAACATTTTTATAACAACGGGATTTGCTCCCCTCCCCAGGTGGCTCAGTACATCAAGTTTGAGATGCCAGTCCTGAAGAGCTTCATTCAGAAACTCCAGGAGGAAGAGGACCGGGAGGTGGAGAAGCTGACGCGCAAGTGAGAGTCTGGGTCAGGCTGTGTTTCCAGGCCCCACTGGTCAGCGGCCTTGTGGGCGCTGGTGCCAGAGGGCTGCCTCTCGAAGACCCAGATCTCAGACAGGGACACGAGTACTGGGTTTCTGTTTCCTGCTCTGTGTCAGCTGCTTACTTGGATATGAGATAACTCAGTATCTTTTCCTTTCCTTTTATGAAAGAACTCTGGGAAAGAATGTGTTGGCTTCAGATCTTTTTGGAATCTGGATTTAGAAATAGGGAAGTCCCTTTCTCCTGGCTCTTAATCTATTGTCTGTTTCTGTAACCAAACACTCAGGGCTGGGTAATTTAGAAAGAAAAGAGATTTATTTAGCTCACAGTTCTGGAGATCTAAGAGCACACATGCACAGCCCACGTCTGCTTGGCTTTGGTGAGGGCTTTATGGCAGATGGGGTGGCAATGATAACCACAAATGAGACAGGAATTTTCATAAGAACTTGTTATTTTAAGAACTAATTGGAGTCTTGTGAGAAAACTATACTCATTTGACTATTACCCAACATTGCCGTGTGGGGTCTAGGCTCTGAACACACCAACCTTTGGGAGGAGACATGTTCAGACGATGGCATGGTAGTGTCACAGCTGTGTGACAAGGCTCCCAGAAGGAAGGTGGTGTTCCCTCAGATGAGGCTCAGAGACTGAGGTTATTATTTGAGAGTCAGCACAGGTCCTGGGGCATGTCCCAAAGGGGTCCAGGCAAAGAATGCTAAGTCACAGATGCTCTGGGAACCTTAGGAGGGTGGTCTGCACAGCAGAGACAGCCCAAGTCACCCACTCTAAAATCCTTCCCATCCTTCCTCCCTTTAGATGTGTGTCTTCTGGAATTTCATTTGGGTTGAAGAGTTCAGCAAACTTCTTTCTGGGAAGAACCAATGATTTCATTTTAGTCACAGAATAGACTGTCTTTTGTGAATATAAAGAATGTTGTTGATTTGCTGTTGGAGGATAATGCCAAATACATATTTCCTGTTTTCAGTAGTTAGTGTGATAGCAGCTGACATTTTATTGAGCACATACTATGTCCTAAACTTTAACATAGCTTTTGTTGTATAGTGCAAACTCCAAGAATGACGAGAATGCCCCCCTCCCCGGCCCTGTAACATGATGCCCACTCCAGCAGTGCCACAGCTCAGGCACATCTATGGAGACTGAAGTCACCCACCAGCAATGAGGCTGTGTGTTCAGTCATTGTTTAAGGGCCTCTTTTGCAGGAGCAGGCACTGGTATAAGCAGACTGTATGAGGTTGCCATTTTGATAGGCTCCCCTACAGAGTGAAATACTGGTAATTTTGTATGTTCCAGCTTTGATTAGGGTCCGTGAGATACCCTGCATGTGGAGTACTGAGCACAGGACCTCTAGCATAGTAAGCACTCAGTGGACTCTGGCTCTGCTACTGTTGATATCTTCGTGTTTCTCGCCACCATTTGCCATACGTTTTAACCATAGCAAAAGAGTCTAATTTGTAATTGACCTTTTTCCCTGTCATCCTCCTGTGGAAGGGTATGTGAAGTGACTGAGAGTAGCCAAGGATGAGAGCTGAGGAGCAGGATGGTTGGGCTCTGGTGTTGCTTGGGTGGTGGGGGAGGCACAAGAGGTGCCTCTGGTTCAGGCTGCTTTTGTCCCCAGGTACACTGTGCTTCGGCTAATGATTCGGCAAAGGCTGGAGGAGATAGCAGAGACCCCTGAGACTATCTGAGCCATAGGAACGAGGGAATCCAGATACTCCAGAGGCCACCAGTGACCTGAGAAGACCCATGGGAAGCTAGGCACTGTTCTTCCACAGAAATGTTTCCACACGAACCTCTACAACTCCCCCACCCCCCCAAGACAGCATTGCTCCCGGGACTAGGACACAGAAGCAGCAGACAGCTCCAAATCTCCAAATCTCTGCCCTCCTTTGTTTTATTCTTCGGAGCTCTCATTCTGAGGAGGACCCACAATGTGTGTGTTCACATACCCCAGTGTTTGTGTGTGTGCACACATATCTGAGTGTGTGTGTGCACTCAACATACCTGAGTGTGTATGTGGGCACATACATGTGTATACATACATGTACTTATTATGTCCATATGCCCCCCTGATGTTTTCACATGCAATTAAATGCCAAGCAGCCAGCACAGGTGCCATGAGGCTGGCAGACACACTGCTCCTGGGCAGGAAGAATGGGAGTAGCTAAGGCTTTTGCCTCTTCCAGTGCCAACGGCAGTCACACGTACCTGCCATGTTTAAAAGGGAAGAGGATTCCGCAGGCTCATATTTGGGATTCCTGAAGGTTTGTGGCAGAGATTGTTTGCATTTGTCAAGAAGGACAGATGACTGTGAGATCTTTGGGAATTAAGTGATATGACAGCCCTGGGCCCTTGGGGCAAGTCCAGTGAGATGGAAGTGAGATCACTGCTGGGCAGATGCAATGAGTCCGTGAGTTTTTGCACTGGAAAGGTTATCATTGGAGAGAGCACAATGGATGTCCTGTCCTATGTGGACACCTGGAAAGGATGGATTCTGCCTCTGTTCTTGGCTTTTGAACACTTCTGGGGGTTTCTGCTCTCTCAGTTGCCACGCCAATCCTTGGTGTCCTCCTTGACGTGAAGAAAAACCTTCTGGAACTTAAGTGTTTGGAGTGACTGTGACTCCCACCAGCTCCTGTGCCAGGGTTGAGTGTATACTGAGATAAACGACACTCAGAAGTTTCTAAGCACCGGTGGGGCTGAAGGGAAGATGGAGGCCACCTGCTGAAATGAAGGTTTCTTCAAGCCCCTCCCTGCGCACATCACATCAGTAGGAGTTGTCCTGTGAAGTCTGGGCACAGAGGATGGTTCTCCATTAGCCTATGGGCATCCATGCTGGCGATTTTTAAAACCAGCCTCATTGGCAGAATGGGCATGGATGGCTCTGTACCCGCTCCATTCGGGAAACTGTCTTGCAGCTGGCCACCTGTGTGGCTTGTACCATTCTGGGCGGGACAGAGAGATGCTAGGAGCTTGGTTCTGGTCTATGAAATGCAACCAGGCAAGATGAGAGGCCCTTAACTCAGGCATCTGTGAGCCTTGCCGCAGCAGAGTGCTGTTCCCTACCTGCTCTCAAGAAAACTCCGGAAGTGTAGCAGCTGAGGGACTGAGGGCCCCTGACCAGTGTGCCTTTTAAGGCAGGTGGACCTCTGCAGTAGACCTGTTCCTGTTGCTGTTCTCTACCTGCCTTAGAAGGTCTCATTGTGGCCTTTCAAGTGATGGCGTGTGGCTAGCCATTTTGCTGGATATCACTTAGCAACCTAGCTCCTTTGCTGGGCAGCACCATCCATCCCATGGGCAGAGGGATGGAAACCTAGAGGGCCTTAGTCCCAGTCATACTCACCAGTGGACATCATCAAAGCACAAAACTAGGGGCAGCGGATGCCGTGTCCCTTATAATCATAAACTTCAGTGGACTTCAGGAAAACACAAAACTCAGCAGGGAATTGGGGGGGGGTCCTTTTATTACGGATGAAGAGAAACTTTGTGGACGTAAATATGTAAGAAAATGATTTGGACAAATTTCCCTTCCAGTTATTTTTATCTTGAATGTTCGGAGCCCCATAATTCTCCTTTGGGGGCTAGGGGACTTTCCACAGAGCACTGTCTCTTACTGGAAGGGGGTGTCTGGCTTATAAACCTTCTTTGTGATCCTGTTAATATGTGACTGGTGCAGAGTTCAGGTTGATAGGCTCTCCAAGAAGGTGTTGCCAAGGTGATGGCTTTTAAAGTGTGGGGTCCAGAAGAAGAGTTGGGGTACATATCCACTAATCCATCTTGGCCCATCCCCTAGAATCATTTCTTACATCCAAATAACTGAACAAGAATTTTAGGAACTTGGCTGGGAATGTGATTCAGTGGTAGAGTACTTAGTGTGTGAAAAGCCAACTTCAATCTCTACCATCATAAAAAACAAAGAAGAGAAAGACAGAAAGAAAAAGAAAGACAGCAGACTTCACTGGTAGAGGGGTTACTTGGTGTGTGAGGGCCTGGTTTCCAACTCCAGCACCAAGTGCCACCCTGCCCCGTGAACTTGGGAAACCTTTAAAATGGCTGCATCTAAACAGACCTCGACAGTGGCAACTGGTTTTTCTCACTGGTGTCACTTGGCCCTGCAGCTTTGAACTCCAAGACTGATTTGTGTAGGTTTATGTAATTGTGTGCAATGAACCTGAAATCCTGAGGAATAAAAGACCAACACACTGGGTGTGTGTGTGTGGGGGGGTTAATCCCACTTGTGAAAAGCACTTTGGCTGCATCTGGACTCCTTTTTCCCCTGCAAAGGCTTATGTTACAAGGTGCTGAAAAGAAGAGAACACCAGACTCTGTCTAAGAGGAGTGGTGAAATCGGTCACAGGCTCGCTCGCATTCTCAGTGACCACTTTAGTGGGGTGGCGATGGCTCAAAGTATGTGGAGGTGTTAGTTGTGAAAGGGCCCAAAGCACAAACACGGTGAAGGCCACACGGCTAACACTGGACAGACTACAACCGAGCTGGGGGGAGAGCCTCAAGAGGACAGTACCATGGCCCAAGGCCAAGATGTTGGTCTGAGACGAGTTGATATTTTTGGAAAGAAATATTTGCACCCATCTCCTTTCCTAACTGTTTCTAGAAACTTCCAGATAAAGACATTTTATCATTTTATTTGTGGCATATGATAGTCTTCCAAAATCTGTTGTCCATGCAAAAATCTTGGCAAGGGTTGTGTTTATTTGGTGTCAGGAGGGTAGATGAGGAAACTGGCCAAATGGCAAGAAGCACTCAAGAAATACCAGCTCTTATAAAAGGACAAAACCAATAAAACCTCAAAAGAAAAGCCATATTTTATTGGAAGCTTTGTAACATGGAGAATTTGGGGATCAGGAATACATTTCCAAGAGAGAAATACAGCCAGTGACCAGAGGAGTTTTAGTGTCCCACAGCAGCAAGACCTGCCCAGGGTGAGGGAGGAGACAGGAGGCCGCCCTGAGCTCACTTTCACAGTTTTGAAGTTTTTACTTGGGCTGTTTTCTGTCAAGCATGGCTCCTGCAAGATGAGAGAGCGTCGTGAGAATAAACTCACTCAGTGGGACATTCCTTCTTGCAGTCTAATTGAAAGTGTTCACCAAGTCTTGGGATACACTCCCTTCCCCCAATCCCACTGAACTGAGAACGGAGGTGCTTAACTGTGAACTTTCGGAAAAGCCTCAGTATCCAGACTGCTGGCTTCTGGGGTTACTGCTAGTGTTCCTTCAGTTTTCCTCTTGTGTGCACTCTTTTTTCTTTGTCATAACTTGTCGATTAGGAATGGTACACGACTTAGTTCAATCGTTGGTTCTTAACATGGTTTGATGAGGTCTCAGTGGGAAGCCATGTTTTTGTAACTTTTTTAAAATTTTAAATGCACCTGACTTAGACCTTATTTAAATAAAGCAGTTTTGGAAGAACATCCCAGTGGATTCTGTCTGTGGATCTTGGGAGGGGAGCTCTGCATCTAGAGGTCGGCTGTAAGGTGGAGGGTGGGTGTTGGGAGGAGAGCTGCATGTAGAGGTCGGTTGTAAAGTGAAGAAGGCACAGATCAGCCCATAAGACAATTTCCATCACTGGGTTTTTGGTTTGAATGTGCCCAGACTTAGCTGTAATGTTTTTAGTCCATTTGCTGCAACAAAATAGCAGAGAACAGGGACTTAGAGAGAAGGCTTATCTAGTTCATGCTCTGTCGCCTGTAAGGCCTACGAGATGGAGTCACTGAGGTGGGAGCCTTTGTGACGGACGGTGATGGCAGAGAGGGGGCCACATATCAAGACAGAGGAAACATAGTAGAGAGAGCTCTGTTTTACGTGTTTGTTCTGTTTTGTTGGTGCTGGGAGTTGAACTTGGCCTTGTGCATGCTAAGTACACATGCTCCAGCTGACAACAAAACCATCCCTACAATAGCCTGCAGTCCTACAACCCACGAGCAGATTATTCCATTTACCAGGGCAGAGTTCTAATGACCCCATCACCCCACAGCACTTCTGCCACTGGGAACCAAGGTTCCATCATGTAAATTTGGGGAACTCATTCAAACCATTGACTGTTTCGGATCCGATGCAAATCAAGTGTCTTCTGTGAGTCTAGTTGAGGCCCCTGGCGCTCACCAGTAGGAGGAGGAGCTGGGACTGTCACATAGTGGGGATGGATTTCACCCTGAGGCCATCCCTGGCTCATTAAGATCCTGAATGAATCTGTTCTGCAAACTAGGGTGTGGAGACCCCAGTGGCTTCTTTGGAAGCACCCAGTGCTTCCAGTGGTCTCCAAGAGCTTGGCTTTCAGACTGCCATCTAAGTTACACTCTGGTAAAGTTGTGAGTGCGTGGTGACTGGTGGCAGTTGTCAACTTGCTTAGGCCACTGTTCAAGATGTTTGATCAAATGCTAGATGTTGTGAGTTTCTTGTTTGTTTTTAGGTGAATTTAACAGTAGACTTTGAGTAGCTTACCCTCCACAAGAGGATGGGCCTCATCAAAGCAATTGGAGGCCTTAAAAAAAAAAAAAGACTGAGTTTCCAAGGAAGTAGTAGTTCTGCTTCCAACCTGTACTGTACTTCCGACTTTAAGTGTAACCTCAGCTGCATAAGCAAGTTCCTTAAAACATCTTCATGTGTGTGTGTGTGTGTGTGTGTGTGTGTGTGTGTGTGTGTATGTATGTGTGTGTAAATACAGTCAGATC